TTTGCCCCCTGTCCGCCCACAGGTTATGGACCCAGTGAAAGTTCCGCGGATTAGTTGAAATTCGGTCGTAAAATCGCGAAAGTTTCCGGTAGTTCCCGTAGCCAGAAGGCGGTGTTCCCGTGAGCGGATGAGGAGAAAGGAAGATGGTGGACCAGCAGCGTTTCCCGCTCCCGAAGCTTACGAATCACAACTACCAATCCTGGAAATTTCGGATGGAAATGTTGTTGGTTCGGGAGGATTTATGGCACGTCATCAGTAAGCCAAGGCCGGCTGTAATTACGGAAGACGATGATTGGACCAAGGCGGATTTGAAGGCTCGCGCGACGATTGGGCTGTGCATAGATGACAGCCAGACTAGCTTGGTGAGAAGCTGCACCAGTGCCAAGGATGCATGGAAAGCCCTTAAGGATTACCACGACAAGGGATTGGAGGTGTACTTGCTCAAGAAGCTGACGCATTTGGAGCTGAGCGAAGATGGAGACATGGAGCAACACTTGCAGCAGTTTACCGACCTGTTGCAGCGTATTGCGGATGTCGGCGATCCAATCCCGGACAAGTTGAAGGTGGCGATGTTGCTTTGTTCATTGCCGGATTCGTTCGATGCTTTAGTGACAGCTCTCGAGCAACGTCCTAGTGCCGAGCTAACTTTGGAATTAGTTAAATCCAAACTACTTTCCGAAGCCGAGAAACGACGCGAACGTTCCGGACCAGCTGCTGCTGCAGGAGGAAAAGCGCTGAAGGTGGAATATCGTCACCAGCCTCGTCGGCAGCAACGGAGCGATGGCGGTGCTAGTGGAAGTCAAGAGACACGGATTTGCTTCCACTGCAAGAAACCTGGTCATCTGAAACGAAACTGTCGGAGTCTGCAGAAAGCCACCGGGAAGAAGCAGGATGAAGCTACAGCGAGCCAGCCGAAGAGGGAAGACGCAACAAAGGCGAAGCAGGTGCAAAACGTTTTCGACGGCCCGCTTGCTTGGATTGCTGGGAATGCAGAACATGGAAGCTGGTTTGTGGACAGCGGAGCCTCGAAGCACATGACGGGAAGAAGAAGTTTCTTCGAATCTCTACAGGAGCAGCAGGGAATGAGCGTGATGCTGGCGAACGGTGAAAAGGCAGCCGTCGAAGGCATAGGCAGCGGGAAGATTACCGGAGTGAAGGTAGACGGATGTCCGGTGGATATTGTGTTGTCTGACGTGCTGTATGTTCCGAAATTAGCAAGTGGATTGATTTCGGTGAGTACCCTCGCAAATAACTGCTTCTGTGTGCTGTTTGGTGAAAACGGCTGTGAGATCCGCAAAACCGGTGCTGACATTGCGGTTGTGGCCGATCGTTGCGGTAGTCTCTACAAGTTACGGGTTCCCAATCAAGCGATGGTGAGCGTCCAGCTGTCCCACACGCTCAACTGCCAGCATACGTGGCACCGACGGCTCGACCATCGGGACCCGGACGTGATCAAGGCAATCCACAGGAACGGCACAGCTGAAGGTATGAAGTTGGTCGATTGTGGAGTGCGAACGGTGTGCCAGTGCTGTTTGGAGGGGAAAATGTCCCGGACCCCGTTTCCAAAGGCTGTCAACCGTGGTTCGAAGGAGATTTTGGATGTCATCCATAGTGACGTCAGTGGTTCATTGGTTGCTACTCCCAGCGGCAATCAATACTTCCTGACCTTCATCGACGATCATTCTCGCATGGCCTTCGTGTACCTGTTGCGGAGAAAATCGGAGGTCGCTTAGAAGGTGAAGGATTTCGTTCGTTTCTGCAAAACTCAAGTCGGGAAAACTCCTCGTGCGCTGCAGTCAGACGGCGGCGGAGAATATGTCGCGAAGGAACTGCAGGGATTCCTGAGAAGCGAAGGGATAATCAGCCAGCTGACTGCTCCGTACTCCCCGCAGCAGAATGGGGTGGCGGAGAGACGGAATCGCTATCTCAAAGAAATGACGATGTGCATGTTATTGGAAGCCGGCTTGGAGATGAAATACTGGGGCGAGGCAGTGTTGACCGCCACCCATATTCAAAATCGATTGCCATCACGATCGATTGGTATGAGTCCCTACGAACGATGGTACGGTCGTAAGCCTTCATTCGAACATCTGCGAATCTTCGGAAGTGAAGCCTGGGTGCAGATTCCAGCGGAAACGCGGAAGAAGATGGAGGTAAAAGCCCGCAAGATGGTTTTCGTCGGATACTCCAATCAACAGAGAGCTTACCGTTTTCTCGATAAGGACAGCGGAAGGATAACGATAAGCCGGGACGTTCGTTTCTTGGAAGATCTAGATTTTAGTGCGAAGCAGGCATCGGGAAAGCCCGAGCAGGAATCTGAAACGGAGAATTCGACGGTTGAATTGGACCCGTTGCCGAAGCCGAAAGTTGCCAACAATCCTGAAGATAACGAAGAAGATTTCCTGGGGTACGAATCTGCCGAGGAAGAATTTTACCGTGAAGAACAAAGCGACTAAGAAGAAGGTGATACCGAGCAAGAAGATGTTCCTCAACCGGAGCCAAGACAAATGCCGCCACGTTCATCCGTCAGCGGTCAACGGTGTCGATAAGCAGGAGTGGATCAATGCGATGACGGAGGAGTATCGTTCGTTGATGTCCAACGAAACTTGGGGGCTTGTGGACCCCCCAGAAAAGCGAAACATCATAGGAAGCAAGTGGGTTTACAAGCGGAAGCTTGACTCTGACGGCAACGTGGACAGGTTCAAAGCGAGACTCGTCGCTCAGGGATTTTCCCAGCGTTTTGGTTCAGATTACGCTCCAGTGGCGCAGCAGTGTACTTTCCGCGTACTTCTGGCTGTCGCGGGCCAGCGTGGCTGGATCGTCAGACATCTGGACGTTAAAACGGCCTATTTATACGGCACGTTGCGAGAAGAAATCTACATGAGACAGCCACCAGGGTTTGTCGTCAAAGGAAGAGAGCATCAGGTTTGTAGGTTGCATAAAAGTATTTACGGCCTCAAACAAGTGGCCAGGGTTTGGCATATGACAATTACCGATATTTTAATGAGCTTGGATTTCGAACAATGCAAGGCGGACACGTGCTTGTACCGGAAGCGCCTTGTCGGCGATGATTGGCTGTATCTTTTGATCTACGTGGATGATATTTTGGTTACGTGTGCGCATCAGGAGGAGATCACGAAGATCGAAGATTCGCTGCAAGAGAAGCTGAGCATTTCCAAGCTGGGAGACATCCACTGTTTTCTCGGAATACGCGTCACGAGGAACGCCGATGGATTCTTCATTCTGGATCAAAGTGTTTTCATAAGGAAGCTGGTGAAGCGATTCGGAATGGAAGGAGCAAAAGGTTCGAAGTATCCACTCGACCCTGGGTACTTCAAAGTCATGAAAGAGAGTCGAAACCTCAAGGACAACATTCAGTACCACAAGCTCATAGGATCACTGTTGTATCTAGCATCGAATACCCGTCCGGATATTGCGGCTAGCGTGGGAATTCTCAGTCGGAAGGTGAGCAGCCCGACGGAGCTCGATTGGAACGAGGCCAAACGGATCGTCCGGTATTTGATTCACACAATGGATTACGGTCTGAAGCTTGGCGGAGGAACTGAAGCCGAAGAGCAGACTTTGGAAGGTTTCTGCGACGCCGATTGGGCCGGCGATACGAGCGATCGCAAGTCGTGCAGCGGTTACTTGTTTCGCCTAGGAGGAGCCACTATCAGCTGGACCAGCCGTAAGCAGAGCAACGTAACAACTTCCACCATGGAGGCGGAGTACGTGGCGCTATCGGAGGCCACGCAACAAGCTGTATGGCTGCGACGATTGTTGGGTGAGCTAAACTTGAAGCAAGTTCATGCAACCGTTATTCACGAGGACAACAAAGGATGTATGGATTTCGTAGCACTCGATCAGCAGAAGCGCAGGTCGAAACATATCGACCCTCGCTTCCACTACACCAAGGAGAGATGTACGTCGGGGGAGATAGAACTTCGGTTCTGTCCGTCTGAAGAGATGATCGCTGACATTCTGACCAAACCTCACGGACCGATCAAGATCGGGAAGTTTGCAGCAGCGATGTCTTTGGCGCCAGTAGTGAAACACGGAGGATGAGGAGACTGGGCTACTTCACGAGGAGGAGTGTTGCAGTGTAGCGGCAATAGCGTGAATACGCCCTTTACGAATGTACATGCAGAGAAAAAGAATCACAGTTAATTTTGTTCAAACAAAAATGTTCTTTGATCGTTGATTAATAAACACGTTTCAAAACAGTTCTCGCGATTTATACGTTTTTTAATTCCGCGTTACATATCCGTTTTTCACTGCATTTACCGGTGTTTTGTACCTGTCCGCCCACAGGTTTGTCGGTGGTTAAACCATAGAGTTATAAATTTTCCAGTCTAGTATCGAAATTGTAGATTTACGAATTAAACTTTAATCAGTAAGCTCCATTTATGATTTCACTTCAACCCTGTCTGGAATTGTTCAGAAAAATTGTTGGAAATCATTGAATCGACACCCTGCATTTGCATAAACCTGTAGCTTGAAAGGCGTTGAGCAGCATGGTGGTCGAAGAAATGGTGGTGGAAATGATGAACGTGACGACCTTGGAGGCTGAAGAGAGCAACAGTGAAGAGACAGGAAAAGACTGTATTCAAATTTCTCGGTTCCTTACAATGCCATGGATGTTTATCCATGACATTGGGCTTGTTACCCATCTCTCTTTGGAGAAATCAAAACACCACAGTCGAAAACGCCTAACAGTTTTCAGAAATTTTAAACCTCGAATTCAACCCTGAATCGGTTTTATCAGTGCATACACCGCCTGTCTGGGAGGTAGTAGCAGCATAATATGCAAATCGCGCCCATCCTGACGCTCACTTCCACACATATGCAAAAAAACACAAAGCTTCACCTCTTGTGTGTATGACTCATCGGGAACTCACGTCATCACAGCGTTATGTAGAAACGCATCCCGTCCGTCGAGTTGATTAACTAACTGTGTTCGTCGTTGTTCAATCGTTCTAAAATAAGTCCACCTTTTGCAGATTGTATTTGTTTTCAACCAAACCAGAGCTCAATAGAATTCACCTTCACATAAAGTGATCAGATCGGAGAAGGATGCAAACGATAAAGTGCGTCGTGGTGGGCGACGGTGCCGTCGGTAAGACCTGCCTGCTCATCTCCTACACGACCAACAAATTCCCGTCGGAGTACGTGCCAACCGTGTTCGACAACTATGCCGTCACGGTCATGATCGGCGGAGAACCCTACACACTGGGACTGTTCGATACTGCCGGTGAGTTAATTTTATTATTTTCGCTTAAATTTCGACTTTCGCTGCAGGCTAGCTTATCATCAATTGTAAATAGAAATTTATTCTCGAAGCTGAAATTATCGCTGTAATCTTCGTAAGTGACGCACAAGCTATTGCAATCCAACGTTTCGGTCGTGAATCACTGATTGAGTGGCGTTGTTGCATGCAATGAAAACTACGATATCAGTTCCAAGAAATCCATCTCGCTGGAGGTTCAAGGTATAAACTATGTGGGAAGAAGAACTCAAGTGGTCTTTGAAACTCTGACAATTGACCCCCAAGAAACGTTCGTCCTCCGCAGTCAGAATCCTCCAGCGAGGGAATGATATAATTGCTCAAATAGAGCAGAACGCTCCACCACTAGACAAACTGCATACACAAACCATCATCGGGCACACGACAGGCACGCACTTGTGTGCTGTGGAGAAAACAGAAACCGGATTGACGTTTCACCTAAATGGAGATAACTGCGAGCGAACCCACTTCATTCATGAATGAATTCACATCACGCGCCCACGCCCAACCTGATCGACTGGTTGTTGTTTTTTGTCTCCCCCTTGTTTGCCTGTTATTCCTCGAGCGAAAACAATTCAAAAGCGTATTTTCTCTCGGTTGTGTCGTCCCCACCTTTATTTCGGGTTCGTCGATCACTTGACGGTTTCTTTGCGTGTTATCTTACCCAGTGACGGTACTAATCAGAAAATCCTTCCCAAATCGCCTTTCAGGTCAGGAGGATTACGATCGGTTGAGGCCACTGTCCTACCCGCAGACCGATGTATTCCTGGTGTGTTTCTCCGTCGTCAGTCCCAGCTCGTTTGAGAACGTCAAAGAAAAGGTATTTTCCATAACTCCTGCCACCTACAAACATTCCTACTAAATATGTTGCCTCTTGTAGTGGGTACCGGAGATAACGCATCACTGTCAGAAGACGCCGTTCCTGCTCGTCGGCACGCAGATCGATTTGCGCGACGAGCAGAGCACGCTGGAGAAGCTGGCCAAGAACAAACAGAAACCCATCACGTTGGAGCAGGGCGAGAAGCTGGCCAAGGAACTGAAGGCAGTCAAATACGTCGAGTGCTCGGCGCTAACGCAGGTGAGTGTCGATGAACCTGGTTTCAGAACTCCGGAAATTGGAAATTGGAAATGAAACGAAATGTGTTTATGAAATTAGTTGAAAAACAATCCGAAAAAGAATGGGTTCAAATTTGTGGTGGTTCTTCCCTGTTTACCCTGAAGACAAGCCGCTGGTTACGTGTAGAATTTAGTGTTGGAAATATCGATTCTTGCTAAGCGTAGCGAATTATTGGATAATGTCGAACTGAACTTAAAGTCTATAGGTAATAAAGGAAACTAAACTGAACTTCTTGGCACAAATCTAGGGTGATGTAAAGAAATCGCTACTGGGAGCATGAGATAAAAGCTACAGTTTCATCACCACAAACTGTTCAACGTTCAAAGTATGTATTTAGAAAGAGTCGTTTCTTAATACTGACAGCCCTTATAGCTAACTACATCGAAACTTTTGATGACTTTGAAAGCAGCTCCCATATATTTGGTCGTGGAAGTCCTTCCACCCTAGATCTCATGACGAAATTGGAGTTGATACCGCTCTCACCTACATCAAGGATGTATCTATGGAAGAAAGATCCGTTGCCGTTCCTGAGATCGCCCCGCAGCCTTATGGCTTACTCGTATACCGGAAGAAGCGCAGCGGTTGATACTACTTCGGATTAAATGTCGTTGCCAGTGGCTAAGGATGGAACTAAGGATCCTTTCATAATTTCACTTTCAGCTGTTGACGAAACGAATGAAAGATTTTTGAATACGTTGTCTTCTGATGCTCCACGGGGAGTTGGTAAGGCATCCAAACAACAGATGCAGTCTCAAGAATCGGGCGCACAAATGAACACAGTACAGTGCCTCTAAACAGTACGGGTCGGAGAAATGGACAAAGCTTCTCGATATGAACCCAAGCTGACGATTTGCCATTACTCCTAGGTCGCTTACTTGTTCTACTGTTTCCAGTACGAATCCGTCGATCGAGCAATTGACTACGATTGGCGTCCTTGTGCGATGAAAAGCACTGACTGCACATTTTGAAATACTAACGAGAGCTGGGATGGACACGAGTGGCACGATCTTCAGGAAGTCCATCCAGCTTCTTGGCTTCGCCGATGACGTCGACATCATGGCACGGAACTTTGAGACGATGGCGGAAACGTACATCAGACTGAAGGCTGAAGCTAGGCGGATTGGACTTGCCATCAACGCATCAAAAACAAAATACATGAAGGAAGAGGTTCTAGGGAAGACAATGTTAACCTCAAACCCCGAGTTCCGATTGACGGTGACGAAATCGAGGTGGTCGATGAGTTCGTGTATTTTGGCTCACTGGTGACCGCCGAAAATGATAAAAGCAGAGAAATTCAACGCGGCATTATGGCAGGGAATCGTGCCTACTTTGCACTCCGGAGGACGTTCCGGTCGAATAAAATTCGCCGCCGCACGAAGTTGACTGTCTACAAGACGCAGATTAGACCGGTGGTCCTCTACGGCCACGAGACCTGGACTATGCTACTGGTGTTTTCGAACGGAAGGTGTTGCGTACCATCTACGGTGGAGTGCAGATGGATGACGGAACGTGGAGGATGCGAATGAACCACGAATTGCAACAGCTGCTGGGAGAACCATCCATCGTCCACATTGCAAAAATTGGGCGACTACGGTGGGCGGGGCACGTCGTAAGAATACCGCACGACGACCCAGTGAAAATGGTTTTCGAAAGCGACCCAACAGGAACAAGAAGAAGAGGCGCGCAGTGGGCAAGATGGATCGACCAAGTAGAAGGCATCGAGTAGAGTGGAGACGACTTCTTCGGACAACAGAGGACAACAAGGCCATAAGGCCGGCACACAATAGATACGTTTTCGGGTTTTTTGACAGTTAGCCATCTGTCAAAAAACCCGAAAACGTATCTATTGTGCGCCGGCCTTTAGTCTGATTGGTAAGGTAAGGTGGTGACCAGTCAACAAGGAAAACCCCCTGAATTTCGATTATAAATCGAGAAACAAATATACCCACTTCGTTCTCTCTTCGGGGAAAAAAAGTAAGACTGTGGTCCCTGTAATGTCTTCAAGACCCTTGGGCTAGAGTGGATTTTCAAGATTTGGTCACAGAAGATTTATGAGCATTTAGAAGCAATTCTAAGGATAACTCCAAAGTATTTTAGAATTAGCGACAAGGGAGCTTTGAGTGCTTTGACTAAATAGTACCCCAAGGCCATTGTGGTACGAGCTCCAGATGAAATTTAAGGACAGTTTTGAGCGGAAATTTAGGCAGGATCTGAGGTGAATTCCATCAGGATTGGGAGGAAGATTCCAGGTTCATTTCTAATTACAATTACAAATAAGTTCTGATATGAATTTCCAGAGAGTTCTGATGAGGCTTCGAAGGAAATTCTGACAAGACCTTTGATACTGAGGATAATTCTGGGGCAGATTCCAAGGTGATTTTGTGGATATTTTCTAGTTCTCAGAGAATTCTGAGGTAAATACCAAGGGAATCGAATTTTGAGGACACAATTCCCAAGGAATTCGGAGAAGAGTTCTGATGAGAATTACAAGTATTTCTTTAGAAAAATTCACTGGCGAACACCATGATTATTCTGAGCAGGATTTCAAGTTATTACCGAGGTGAATTGCAAGTGAATCCAAAGGATAATGCAAGCTGAACATTGCATTAGGTCCTAAGTAACATTGCCAGATTCTCTTCAACGACTTTCTCTTTGTATCCTCACGGCCATTTAACGTCATTCCCAGGTATTTTCAGAACACAGATCGATAAAAGAAGGTTTTATCTAGCATCTAATCGAGGGGGGCGGCACATCTAAACCTCAATACTAGATGCTCAAAAAATTTCACACTAGCGAATCAATTTTCGAAAACTCTTCTTTCAGGTCTTGCATCTACTTGCATCTTTTGCAGGAAATCTGCAGAATCGTCATTAATCTTCTTTCTATTTATTCAGCGTGCACGCAGCTAGCCACAGCAAAACACAATCTTTCCTGCAACGTAGATAGAGTCGTCCCCCTCGTATCTAATACGACAAACACAACAAAAAACGGTTATGTGCTCATGTTATTAACGAAAGAGCGAAAGTCGACCACAAGGGGTTGGTCACTCAGTCATTGGCACTGTTTGGCACCCATGGTTACACTTTTTTTCTGATTACTGGCAACACTAAACTTTTTCTACGCCTGCGCAGTGTGCATGTGTCAAAATTTGTTATTGATGTTGCCACAATATAATCAATTTTGACGTAGGACTACGTCTGTGATTACTATATGGGGGTACACTTTGTGAAAACCCAAAAATGGAACATGTAACAAAATTATGAAAGATTTTGAACAGTTACAACTCTGTCCATAGCGGATGGATTTTAATTCTAAACAAGCCAATCGATTGGAAAGTCATCTACAAATCTGTTAAAAGTAACTGTTGCTATCATAATTTAAATTATCACCGATTGCCTGCGAAAAGCGCTTTCCCTAACACAGATTTAAAAATTGATTTCACTCCGGTCTGGCCGAACGGTGTTTACTCAATCACCGTGCGTGGTGAATGGTGGTGTCCGATCGTCATCAGCAGCAGCAGTGCTTTCGGCGAGTGGCGTATTCCAGTACATAATGAAAGGCTGCCTGCAAGAGCCCTCGATTCACCGAAGAAAGAGGAAGAAGCCGCACCGCTACTGATCGGATTCAGTTGCGCGTCGTTAGCCGCTGTGGGCCATCTATGCCAAGTGCGTCACCCTCGTTCCAAATAACATACAGCTCGCCAGCTTCATCAGTGTTACTCAATCATCACGACAAAACGGTCATTTTCAGGACCACCATAAATTTGTTAAAGAGCTCCTTTTGCAGCTAACAAATAACATTTTTCATATAAGACCACGTAGTCCTACGTCACCATTGCGTACAACTCTAGACAGAGCTGGAATTAGGGCGTAACAGCTTTTGTAAACAAAAAAATTCTCTCGTTCATTTCTAGATACTGCAGGCGCAGCTACACAAACCAACATATCCGTCGGGTAGGGGAAGTCTTCCCCCACTCGATGGTGATGTCGATTTGCCAGGGAGAGTCATGACTTACAAAATCTGTTACGCCCTAATTCCAGCTCTATCTAGAACTTAAAAACTTCACCAAGTCTCGTCGTTGCTTTTGCTTTCCTTCTATCTATGGACACTGACTTCATCTTACATTGGTTCATCGTGTTCGGATTTCAGACAGTCGCCCGTCACCGAAATGGGCGTCACACCACCGGACGCTGCTGCCACGGTGGAGGCTATCGCAGTCGCTGCCGACATTGCGTTGCCAGGTGCTGGTGCTATGTCCATGCCCATGTTTTCGATGTTCTCGTTGCTTCAAACACAGCTTCATAATGAACAGGAGTGTTGTGCCTTTGTGATCGATCGCGCTGCGGTTGCACCTCATGATGGAGTACACCGCCAGGGCTACGCTCGGGTACTCGACCAATCCGGAGGAGGAACGTTCCGATTTCAGCGGCAACATTCGCACTTGCGACTAGAAACACTGGAATAAGAGACCAGCGAAGACACTGCACAGTGGGCAAAAATTGACAAAACCTCGACTAAATTGAATATCTCGACTGCCTCGGCTGATCAACCCGAATTCCTGGTAAAGTAGGAAATGCCACTATCTATCGACATAATTATACACTTTACTTAACGTATATTACTGGAAATTAATAGTACTAAGTATATATGGTGTAAAGACACCAAATACGCCCTCAGGGAAACTCTACTGGCCTAAAGGAGGATCCGGAACGACCGATAAAGTGGCCACATTATAAAAATTGTCCTAGAACCTTGACATTTTTTTCTATGATGAATCAAGAAATCAAAGCGTATTTTATATGGAAACTATATTTTGGGGTATCGTGGCCATATTCTGGTTCTCCGGATAATCTGGATTGACCGATAAAGTGGTCACATTATAAAAATTGTCCTAGAACCATGCGATTTTTTCTATGTTGTTCAGAATCATGAGATCAAAGCGAATTTTATATGGAAACTAT